GAAAGGCGGGATCTCCTCGGTGCGGCCCCTCGGGTTCGCCGAGGGGGTCGGCCGCGGTGGTCCGATGGGGACGGGGTCGGTCGACTCCGCCGGAGGGGGCTCCTCGGCTGGGCGCGCGCTCCGTCTGTAGTCCTGCACACAGGTCGGGTCGGGACGCTCGACCCGACCCCTCCGACGATCAAGTGGTGGAGGGGGTAGAAAGAATAAGAGTTTGAGGTGTCTCCCTGGTGTGTTCTTTCCTCCATCCTCCTCTCCCCCCTCTGCTCGTTCAGAGTGCGAGGGTATTTCTAGGGAGGCTTACTGTTTCCTGATGTGCCCGCTTGCAGGGGGCAGGCTGGTTGCGTCTGACATTGGTTTGGCGTGGCGTGAAGAACCGAGCCTGAGCAGGTGTTAATGCGTCTTGGCTTGTGTTCCGGTTCGTTTGACCAGGTGCCGTCGTGTCGTCCGAGGCGTGAGGCATCATCTGACGTCAGTTGGGTCTTATCATAATTACTATCCTCATCAGTGTATGTTGTACAATCTGGATTGTTTTTTTCTAAAAAAAAAATATATATTAAATAACAAAGGTGATGCTTATAATACGATCTAATCGAAAAATATATTATGATTCTTATATGAACATATTTTTAATGAAAAAAATAAGCGGTGGAAACAAGATTTGAACTATGAGCCTTGCAATATTATCAACTAGACTAGCTAGCATCATCAATATCTAATTTAGTTATACGTTAATATGATATAAAATTCAAATTGGATAAAATATTTGTCATACTTATAATTTTTTCGATGCGACGAAAAATGTATCAAATGTTTAATTAGTAGGTAAACCATATTTAGGTTAGATGTTACTCACTCCTTACACCATAGAGAGGCAGAGAATAATTTGGACCAAATCATATGGCTATAAACTTATAATTTATCCATATTAAATAAAAAAAAATTCTGTTCCTTACTTCCATCAAAATTTTGGCATTAACTTTCGACCATTTCTGTAGTCGAAGCAAAGGAAGAGACAAAAATCTCTCCCACTTTCCAATAATTTAAATACTTCATGCTCATATCCCACCAAATAGATTTCTTGGTTGCCAAAACTTATCGACCATTTTGCAATATAAAGTATGAAATTAAACATCTCGAAACTAGACACATAGAACTTGGTGAAATCGTATGTCAAAGTGCCAATTAAAGATGACAAAGTACTCATTAGAAATGACATATTAGTATCAAGGTATGTTGTACTTCGAGCACTGTTATAATATGAAAAAAAAATAAAAAAATATTCGGTACGTCCTGATGTACCACTCGATACATCGGTACCATATTGTACAGAGCCCGAGTTGAAACGTCAGTACGATACGATACAGCGAACCTTGATTAGCATGATGTTCAAAGGAAATATTTTTTTATTAAATCACTTAATATTTTGTAATTGATGACAAAAACAACTACAGAAATAACAATATATAAAGCAACATTTATGTTTTCATTCGATACTTACTATATTCCTTCCTTTTTTTTTACAAAATGATGAGGGATGAAAAATAAAATTTGATCGGAAGATCTTGCTATCAATAACGAAAGCCTCAATCAACTAGACTAGTTGACATCTTCAAATGAGTCACCATCAATCCAATATTTTATGTGTAAATTTATCACCACTTAATCTAGTCTTTTACACCATCACTAAACTAATATTTTAAATATAACTTTATCAGATAAGATTCTCACCCTTAACCTTTGGTACATGGGTGTAGTATACCACTATCGATTGATATTTTTGGTGTAAATATTTTCAAATAGGGTTTTCAACTCTTAATTTTTTTATTACTCTGATGCACCATCATCAAATCAATATTTTAAGTATAAAATTTATTTGATAAATTTTTTTAGGTTTCTTATGTCAGTTATAAAGAAACCTCAATAATGTTATTCGTTCTTTACCTTAACTCAATTATCTCAAAAAGCTAAATTACAGTTGAACATGGCCTAACCTCTTTAAGTTAGACTACTTCTCCTTAAGTCGATTATATCATCAATATAGTCACACTCTTAGGCTGGTTCATATTCTTGAAGATGATTCGATCCTTAAGTTAGTCGTATCCTCAAAACAACTACATCTTTTAATATGATTATATCCTTGGTCGTATCCTCAAAATGACTACATTACTCAACAGGAATATTTTATTAAATTAATCTTAATCTTATTTTAAGGAAATCATATCATTCAAGATGATCAAAGTCAACCGTGTCTTCAAGAAGATCATATCCTTTAAGTTGGTCATATCTTTAATTTTATCATATCCTTCCATATGATTTTATCCTAAGTTGACCATATCCCCAAGTTTGTATCTTTGAAACGATCATCTTCAAGTTGGTCATACACTCATGATTACCACATCCCCAAGTTGGTGGCTTGCCTAAGTTGGTCACACCTAGAACAACTCTCTTTAGGTAAAAGAAAAGCCCAATCCACTCTAATAAAAATTATCTAATCCATTCTTCCCAATAAAAAATACCCAAAAATGCATGATACTAAGTGAAAAGGCCAACACTCTTAATGTCTTTTAATTAGAAAAAATTTAAGACATTCATCTTTAGCATGATGCATCCATGTAGGAAAACAAAAAATTTAAAATATTTGAAATGGCAAATAAATCCTTGACATCTACATAAACATAAGCATCAAATTATCTAACACACCCAAAATATCCTTTATGCATGTTGTATCTAATCAAGAAAAAAAGCATGCATCCGACAATATTGATGAGACAAGAAATTTCTTTTACATGATAGAAATTGTAATAAGCCATTATGAAGCTTAGTTAGCTTGAATATGATAAAGTATCGATTAGGCGTTGTGTAGAGAGTAGATGTATAAGATGGTAAGAAGTTGATCCTTCATATTATCTCCTTCTATTGTCCGAGATTGATATATATATATATATATATATATATATATATATATATATATATATATATATATATATATATATATATATATATATATATATATATATTGTGGCTCGGGTATGCGGGTTAACGGATCCGTCGGACATCTTCGCGTTTGGCCCCACCGTATGCAAAGCCGCATGTTTGAATCCCGCGAATTCTTCGTGTCGCGGCATGTCTTACGGAAGTCACGACTGTGGTATTGGCGGACACTCGGAAAGGACGTCATCCTGACACTAGGAAACCACGCCACGTGTCCTCGTTAGAGTGTCGTGCACCGGTGCTCGCTTCGCCACCGCCGTCTTCGACGGCGTCTCGAACCATGCTCGGGCCAACCAACAAGGATGCTTTTCTCCACGGGCCGTGGCGTCACCCTTTTTCGTACCTGCCATCTAATCGAATAAAAGCACGAAGCTTTTCTGTCACCCATGTGGATGACCACGACCAATCACCAGGCAGGTATCCGAGTGCCTAGTTGACTTGTTGCCTCTTTAAGATAGGATCTGGTCGCACGTGAGTGCCGCGTGGTCTCGAGCAATCTCGGTTCTTCTCTTCTCCCTTATCCCTCCTGCGTCCTCTCCCCCCCTCCCTATAAATATAAAGGACATTACGCTCATGCCATTATGATCCTCACAGCTACTTCTTGATTCGTGCGTTCTTCATCATCCACGCGCTGCCGTCTTACCTGCCGGCATTTGGATCGAACCAGGCAGCGGCGCGGCCCCCTAAAAGAGGTATTATCCCTTTTTTGGTCTGACGTCGCGGGTCGGAAGGGCTGGAGATGTTTAGATCCTTGATTTTTGGAGTTATGTTCTTGATTTCGTGGAATTTGATGGATTTTGAATGGATTGTGGAGCCAGACTTGACAATTTGGTTTCCAGGACGAGGTAAAGGTCGGGATGGCTTCTCTCGCTTCTTCTTCTGTCGTTGGACTCCGTCGCCCTCAGTAAGATCTGCTCCTCTCTCTCCTCTTTTTGCTCTCTCTGAACTGTTTATGTTTTTTGGTCTATTAATCCATCATCTTTCAAGTATTGTTTGAATTATCAATAAATTCCATGAAAGGGGGAAAGAAGAAAATTCTTCTCCAATATTTCTAGGTTGCTAATGAAAGAAGGCGATTCATGGACGATGAAGTTTAGAAGATGGAAAGCTTTTGCAATGATATAATTTTGACCAATCACTAATGCTGTTGCCAGCAGCTTTCCGTTAATCTCTTTTAACAACATATCTACCACTATCAATTATACTGGGTTAGTCTTAACCCGATTCTTTGGGAAGAGATTAAAGCATATGGACAAAGTAGTAAGAATCTTTTAGTTCTGATTTATGAAAGCAACTTAATGTTTGCTGCTCTTGCATGTGTAGTAATTTTTTTGGCTTCTTGTAACTTTGCACTTTATATCCAGCTAGCGGACAATGCTAGGGGATCCTTGTGAATGGTAAAATCTTTGGTTATAAAATAAAGTCATAGGTGATGTATGTATATCTCGAATTCATGATATTAAGCACAATCTATTGTGTCTGATCAAACATTTCTTTCAAGTTTTATAATATTAGAATATTATAAAACTTCATGATTCCTAAAGCATATTCTAGAACAATCGCTACTTCATGATTCCTAAATCATATTCTTTGACTTTCACTATCTTTTCACTTTGCACTATCTGTATTTAACTTAATTATCTGCTCCGAGTATTGATTTGGTAAAAAAAGAATGAATAATTCATTATAAGACACATTAATGGTCTAGGCCAGCTTCTATGCATACCTCTCATCGTGTTGACTCCAGTTGCTGTGGGTACAAACAGACAGTGAAGCACCTCTCTCTCTTCTCAAAAAAAGAAAAAATGTGTAGCAGAAATCACAAAACAACAAGATAATTGGTAGGTTGGAGATTGTAATAATATATGCAGTCCAAGTGCAAAATCAGTTGCGCCACCTGGATTCTCTTTTTTGGAGTTCTTTATTGAAATTCTTATATGGAATAGAAAAATTGTTGGTCAATTTCATGAAGCAAAACAATGAGCTTACTTCAATTGTGGAACATTATTCTTTATTTTGCTTCTTGACTGTTAACAGGGTTCATTGCTTTTCAAGAGGATTCATCTCTTTTAAAGGGCTGTGTTATAAAGCATTTGTGGTAAATCAGAGGATTTCGAATTTTACATCAACTGGTTTCGGGAAAGCTGTATGTTTTTCTTTAAAAGAAGATGATAGATTTATAGCTGTACCAAGGTCAAGTGAAAGTGATATTCTACTAGGAGAAAGTGCTGTCGTGGAACAGGATAATGCAACTGTTAATTCTATGGTTCAAGCAGATGCAGTAGCCCTTGGAACAATGACAGCCGATATGGCTTCAGTTCCTGATGACTTTTCTATTGACAATGATGAGAACGATTTAGATTGTCCTACAGAAGGGTTCTCCTGTATCTCAGAGGCCATCAAGGACATCCGTCAAGGCAAGGTTTGTTTTGATTGATCATATTGATATTTTTTCTCTTACTTCATTTGATTAATTTCTTTCCCTTATGTTCCATGTTTTTGCAGTTTGTGATTGTAGTCGATGATGAAGACAGAGAAAATGAGGGAGATCTTATAATGGCTGCATCTTTGGTAACGCCAGAGGCCATGGCTTTTGTAGTCAAGCATGGGACAGGAATTGTATGTGTGAGCATGAAAGCAGAAGACCTTGAAAGGTTAGAGCTTCCTCTCATGGTGTCAAATAAAGAAAATGAGGAGAAACTGTGCACAGCATTCACGGTCTCAGTGGTATGTTTCTTATCTTTGTTTTGATAGTTAATGGTTCTTCTCAGCAGTAAGGATCAAATAATGATAAGAAGGGACATCTTGCAAAAACAAATATCAATTAGAGCTTGCTACGAGGACATCTTATAATATTATGATAACCTCCAGCTTTAGTCTCTTAATAACTAAATATAAGGGAGGCTTATTGACTGCCTCTGACATATATAATAATTGAAGGAGTCAGATACACCTCTCGTTTGAAAACTAAGGATAAAGTATATTGGTTTTAAAAGTTTGAAGCATTCCCTGCTCTTGATCTGTCTAGTTGGCAAGTTGCGGCATCATTACTCTGTCTAGATCGCAGCATAAAACTTGTAGTATTGTCCTTCAGTTTTGTTTTCAAAATATATGAAGTGCATCTGGTTTTCTATTGTTCCAATTGATTGTTTATCTTTTCTCATTCAACCAGTGTTCTGTATAGCTAAAAGCCTGATTCAGGTTTCTGAAGTATCTGTCTGGTTGGTTAATAGGTTATATTCATACTTTAAACATTTAATTCCTGCTGTCAACTACTTTTTATTTGCTTATATTGGTTGGCTCTTGATATATAAGTTCCAGTTACGTATGATTTTTGTTTTGGTTCATTACAATTATAATGTTTGTATAACTTGTTGTCTTCAGGATGCCAAACATGGTACAACCACTGGTGTGTCTGCTAGAGATAGAGCACAGACGGTTATGATGCTTGCGTCACCTGATTCAAAGCCTGCAGACTTTAATCGTCCTGGCCATATTTTTCCGTTGAAGTACAGGGAGGGTGGTGTTTTAAAAAGAGCTGGACATACGGAAGCATCAGTTGACCTGGCTATTCTGGCTGGATTACCCCCTGTTGGAGTTCTATGTGAGATCGTTGATGATGATGATGGTTCCATGGCTCGGTTACCAAAGCTACGTGAATTTGCCAAGGAGGAGAATTTAAAAATAATCTCAATTGCAGATTTGATCAGGTATGATACCTGCTTATCTCTTATAAGATATCACTAACCATGGGAGTTGTACTTTATTGTGAATACACAAACAGCAAAGATAAATGTACTTAATTTTAGGTCAATGTTGGTAAGAAACTGACATTTTAGGTCCATGCTATGAGGGCACAAACCTTACGAAACCATGCTGTGTATTATGAACCATCATAGACAAATGTGCATGTTAATATGCCCACTCTTTATACGCACCAATTCTTTTGTCTGTTGAGCAGTTCAAACTTGTATAGTCTATACATGTTTCTATTTGCTGCTGTTTTCTAAATTATGAAATTAGCTTTAAATTATAAATGCTTTCGATAAGTAAGTATAGAAAATAACTTTGAGCATTTATTTGTCAACCTTTCTGTTTATCATTTCCAAATGGATTCTAGTAAATACTAGGTACTTCTTGTTGTGCCTTACCATTTTTCTGTTCCTTGTAGCACACATGCTAGGCCTGTACATGGCCATTTTTGTTGCTTACATGGTATGCAATCAACATTTGGCAATATATGCGGCTCTATATCGTTCAGTACTTCACTTGCATTATGCACTGCAATGTGCAGCATATTGTGGTCAAATCTTTGAGCCCTTTTCTGTTAAATTGTACAATGGGCATGTTATGCATTAATGATATATTTTACTAGTTCGGTATACTTCAAATCTGTGACTGGCACTTAAATCTTAATTTCTTCCCATGCTAAATTACTTGACTGGATCTGTCTTGAGTTATCCCTTGCACTTATCCATTTTGTTTTTTATTCAATTTTTCATTACTTTCATTTTGATAAATAGGATTCATAGGCAATATACATCATATTCATTACTTAGTATAGTTACCCAATTTTACCTTGCGTGGTTCCAACTGTTCTCTTCTTTATCATACTTACAATCTTTTTGCTTATGTGTCATTCAACAATTTTCCCATCCACCTTGAGGGATCCCTAATCTTGCTTCTTATCCTTTGAAGGACATTGTGTTAAAAAAAAATTGAATCTAGATATGTCTTGAAAAGGAACTATTTATTTGATGAGCAATTTTTTCCCTTTATTCCAAAAAAAAAATTTATTGTTGAACAAGTAAATACCAAATTATGGCATATACTGTCAGAAAATGAAAACATGAATACAAATTACAAGCCTCAATGCATACAAATTACAAGTAGTCACAATGTCCCATTATCTGGAATCAACTACATGGATTTTTTCCTGAAATTTAGCTTTGACAAGACAATATCTCTAGTTAAATTTCTTTTTATTATTTCCTCTAAAGTTTTCTTTGGTCTCTCCATCTCTCCTCACACCACTAATACAAATTAACTCCATTTGTCGTATTATAGCATCAATATATCTTTAAAATATTTGGTTTGATTGAATTTGTCTGATCATAGCATCAACACATGTATTTGTATGTTCCATATAAAAATTATAATAGATGACAAGCTAAAATCAGTAAAATAATTTACTTTGTCATGTGTTTAGTATGTTCTGAGAATCATTTTCAATCTGGTTTAGATATACATACTTGTTGGTCACCTATTTGTTCTGACTCTAGTTGCTTCAATATTCTTTGTTGTTTGCCTTTTCCCATGGATTGAATTTTGTGGTAATTTTGAGTTCTGACCATTAGATAATATGACAGATATAGGAGGAAAAGAGATAAGTTGGTTGAACGTGCTTCCATTGCACGGTTACCCTTAAAGTGGGGTTCTGTTCAGGCCTACTGCTATCGATCATTGCTTGACGGAATGGAGCATATTGCCATGGTTAAAGTAAGTGTCATTTTTAATATAAATTTAGCAACACTTTTGTTTTTGTTGCTATTCGTGCTACTTCTCGAAATATTAAAATGGAATATATTTGGAGCTGAACGTTTTAAATCTTCAGACGATACTGAATGATCATTTGCTCATCTTTTTGGTGCCTATGTTTCACTATTTGTCCAAACATGTTACATTTTTCAAACTTTATTGTGTTATTTAAATACTTCAAATCCAATTTAAACAGGGAGATATTGGGGATGGCCAAGATATCCTGGTAAGAGTCCACTCTGAGTGCCTCACTGGGGACATATTTGGATCATCTAGATGTGACTGTGGCAGTCAACTTTCATTGGCTATGGAAATGATTGAAAAAGCTGGCAGAGGTGTGTTGGTTTACCTTCGTGGACATGAAGGAAGGGGCATTGGTCTTGGTCACAAGCTTCGTGCTTACAACCTACAGGATGACGGGCGCGACACAGTGGAAGCTAACGAGGAGCTCGGATTGCCTGTAGATTCACGAGAATATGGCATAGGCGCACAGGTAAAACATAGAATATATGCCAAGTTTCTAGCGTGATACTTTTATTGATGGTAACATGGATCATAAACAATCTGTAATAGTCAGGGCTCAGAAGCTTCATTATATGTCCTCCGAATTTTTAAACAAGTACTACATAAGTGCATACCCCATACTTTTGAGATCTATGGAGTGCTTCTGAAATTCACATCATTTACTTGTTTACTATAATGGTGTTTGTCATATTACCACCTTGGTGTACTATCTAACATTTGACAGTATGGTTGATGACCTTGTTTTCATTTTTGGTATGCCTAAAAAGCAGCATTTTGTTCCTATTCTTGCTTACATTATGAATGCCTTTTTAATTTTTACTTCTATTGTCTGCCATGTCTAGTGAATGTGTTCTGAAATATCTTATATATGAAAGGTTACTCTCTAATTCTACATGCCTTCCGTCATTCCTATCTTTTACCTATGAACATTTAGACTAGTACCTAATGTTTTGCATCTATCTGTTCAGTATTTTCTAAAGGAATTCCATTGTAGCAACATATGCATATTTTATATGGCTGATTTTGTCTGAGGCCTGGCTGTACTAATGGCAATCTGTCATCAAGCTCCACATTGATTTCTGCTGCGTAAGCTTCACTTATGGATTTGACATTCAAGTTGTCTATCAAGAGGATATGCTTTATACACCCATTTTATCGAAGATCCACTTAAACATCGACCTGCATAAGTATATCAAATGTCTTCTTTTTTTTTTTCAACTTCTCTTCCCTTTGTTGTAGTCATATTACCCTTTTAAAACCTTGTCACCTATAATTACTAAAAAAATATGACATAATTGTGAGTGTTCGACTGAGTGTCTGAAAAAGTTGGATTTTGAAACACTTGTCATCCATGGCTAACTTATTCTTTTTGTGCAGATATTACGAGACCTAGGTGTTCGAACAATGAAACTGATGACTAACAATCCTGCCAAGTATGGTGGACTGAAAGGCTATGGATTGAGCATCGTCGGTAGGGTTCCCTTGCTAACTCCAATCACAAAGGAGAATATAAGATACTTGGAGACAAAAAGAACAAAAATGGGTCATATATATGGATCGGAATTCAATGGTAATCTTACTAGTTTCATCATAGGTAATGTAACCAACGAATCCGATCCGGCTTCTTAATATGCATTTGTCGCACGAGAAGTTGAAATAATTATGCTTAACCAGCATAATTGTGGTGATTGTTTCCTGATATTACCGTCTTGTTATGTTTGGAGTTGCAGGTGTTGACTCGAGATAATTTGCAACCTTATTGAACTGAGTTGTTCTTAATAAATCCGTCATTGAGTCATGCAGTTGTTTGCAACCTAAGCTACTGTTTCGGTCATAGCGTGTTATTAATGTGAAATCCTCTCTTCTTCATTTTCAATGTATTCAAATGATTTGAGTACGTGGCCATTTTTGTATTATAGTTTTCTCATCATTTATCAATTGCACATTATTATATACAATGAAACTACTATGATTAGACGTCAATAAGATCGTGATCATATTATTAAATGGCCATACAATGTATAAAATCCATGCATAGTGTATATAGTACATATAGCAAATTTTAGACGAATGGTATTCACTTTTCATAATTATAATTCAATATAATCTTGATTAATAATCCAATAATGGGTTCGAACCTGATTTTCTATTTTTCTTTTATTTTTTGAACTTTTGCTGATTTCAAAGAGGATCTTATTATGAAATGACAATATCACTATACCCCTTTGCTTTTTTTATTTTTTTTTGCCCCTTTTCAATTTCGTCTTTTTTTATATATCTGTCTCTTATTCTTCAGCCTTTTTTTTTTTCTATGTTTCAATTGAAGAGTAGCAAAATTAAAAGATAGACAAGGTGGGTATTTTCGTTTAGGTCTCTTGGTCAAAGTAGGAGTTTTTATAATAATCAAAGTCAAAGTCTTAAGTTTATCTATCTATAAATAAAATATCCTGTAATGTGTTATATACACATTATGGTTTTTTTGTTTTAAAATACCTCCTCAATTTTCCTCTGTTATACTCTATAATTTCTTGATACCCACATCTTTTTTAGAGATTTTTTAACGTAATATCCGAGCAAATTTGATTTAAGTTCAACTTAAATCTCGACGAGATAGATCAAGAGAGATCAACTCACCCCAAGACCGAGTGCTTCCAAGACCTATTTTATAGAAATAAATAAATGTTCCAAATACCTATCTTATGCCTACTCAAGAGAGAGAAAGAGAGAAATAAAATTATTATTTTATTTCTCTTTCCATCTTCGATCTCTCAAACTGCGATATTAATAAAATGACTGCATGATGGCACATTCTTGAATAAGAAAAGTTCAAGCTTCCTTCTTCAACTTGCAAATTAGGGGCATACTTTCCCTTTTGGCATTCGCCCCCACAACTTGGACATAGCATACATCAGCATGAAATGTTTATGAATACAAACCTAATATTATGTACAGTGACGATTGACGATGATTGTAGAGTGACATTTTTCTGCACCTGACAAATTGGGGCCACAGGGTTGCTTATGGTATTCAGTGCAACTTGCACAAACATTTACGGCATGAGAAGTCTATGCACACAAACCCAATGATATGTACAGAAATCGAGGATCGATGGTGATTGCACAATGGATCATTTCTGACTATTAATGCCTTTGGCAGCTAGCTACTGCTTTTGGCTGATGGGTTGGCCTTTGCCTTCCTGTTCTTGGATTTCCTTCTCTATTTCTTCTCCTTTCTCAATGATGGGCTCAACAATTGCATCCACCTCTGCCTTTATATGATCAACCTGATACAGCAAAGGGCAAAAAGAAAAGGCATTACAGCAATTAGCATCATTCATCTACACTCAAAAAGCTTTTTTTCTTCTCTCTCACAAACTACACAGATTTGTTTGCCGATTAGTCTATTGTAAGAACAAAATTTATTTCGAAGTTCTCGCTAGAAAATAATGCATGAGTTTCCTGACTGAAAAATAACTAGATTGAAGTCGATGACTGAAAAATATAGAACCTTTAAGATTCCCCTGTGAATTCTGTGTGTCTTATCAATATTTCCAGGTAAATTGCATAGCAATGGTACCAATCTAACGAAGACAAAAAGTAATATGTGATGTTAATCTGGGAAAGGAGAAGTTCATAGTAGGAAAAACCTTATGAATGAAGATTTCAGCTCGTTCCGCATCCCTGTCAACTTCTTCGCAAATCTGCTCGATCTGCAGGGCCTTCTCCTTGAGGCTTACACCGTCAGGGAGTTCATCAGCGATTTCGGAAGCTATCTTCTCTGTTGCCTTAGCAATCTTCTCCACAGCTTCTGCACCACTTTCAGCAGCCTTCGCTACAGCATCTGAGAAACAAAAATCCCAAATTTTCAGAATCGTAATGGTCGTGAACCTAATTGGGGCATTTCGGTGATTGGAGCTCACCCTCTGTCCTCAAAATTCTCCTGCACAGGGGCACGGCAAACCCAATCACAGATCCCAACGCCCATCTAGTCCTTCGAGAATCACAAACGCGTCATGAGATGATTGCAGAGAAGGAAAGGCATATAAGTCGTACTGTTGTTCCCTACCACACTGAGATTCTAGAGAAGGGGATTCCAGAGCCAGAATCAGCAGCTGCATCAACACCAGAGCTTGTGTCTCTACAACAATCATATTGCAGTCATCTTCTCATGATCAATCAGATCGAAGCAAAAAACATATCTCATCTTGGACGAGGATGAAGACCACATACTTCCTGTCGACTAAAGTCCATTCTTCTTGGTCGGTGATGGACGACGCCTCCATCGCTCAATCAAAGGAGAACTGACACCGATCGTCGGAGGATGCGGATTTCTCGATGAATTGATGATGGAAGAGGAGCTCCCCACGGAGATGTGGAACGGATGCCTCGGTTTGGGCGGTCGTCGGTGAAGAAGGAACGCGTTGGACTTTTGGCCACATGCGTTCAACTTTGGATGTGCTTTGCTGACTCATCTTTGGTAGGTTGGCTTATGCAAGACTTTGTCGGCCAATATATAATATGGGCGAATTTTTCGAAAAACGGTTACTAATATTTTTTATTTATGATGTCGTTTTCTGATTTATAAATGGTTTTCAAAACGGTTCAAATAAATTCAAAAATAAAAATTAAAGTTATATAAATTTATTTAGAACGTACATCAACATAAATTTCAAATATTTATATTCTAAATAATATTCCAGTACATATATAGATAATTAAATTCGATTTCATTGCATACATATATAGCATCCAAACCAGCGTCAAATATTATAATTAGATAACTTTAAAATTCATTAAATACAAACTTGAAAAATAGTATTCAAATTTTAGTAAATAACATTAAAGTTTTATAAATTTATTTAGAATGCACATCAACAGAAATTTCAAATATTTGTCTTTTAAATAATATTTTAGTATGTATATATATAATTCAATTATATAGTTTTTGGTATAATATAATTGATAAAACTCTGCAAGTTCTTGTTTTTTTTGCCATACTATTGTATAAATAATTTGTAGGTTACACTTATCTAATTTTTATAATGTTATATATTTTTAATTTTAAAAATTAAGATGATCATAAAATAAATTAATATTTAAAAAAAATAATTTAACACTATTTATAATTCGCTTAAAGTTAGCACATTATTTTGAGGTCCTAAAGGTCTTTATAAAGTTAGCTACATTATTCTTTAAGACAAGTATAAGTAATTCAATCGTAATTTTTATGTACTCAAAATTTGTTCGTCGGCTACAACAAGAGTTTCTATAATAAGAAGGTTCTTAAGTATATTTTGAGCAAAAATATTATTAATAACTCGAATGTGATATTTTTTTTAAAAAAATAATAATATAATTGATCAAGATATCATTAAATTAAATCTAAATATGCTTAATTAGGTAGGATTAGTCTTCATAATAAGGGGCTCCGTGCGTATATTTTTTAAAAAATTATATATATAAAATATGTTTGATAGTATAATTAATGTTAGAATTTGATAAGTCAATATTTGATCATAAGTATGACTCAATAAACTTGTAAGAAATTATTCATTTTAGATAAGCTAGTACGATTTTATTGTTTGGAGGCTCCTAAATCTCAAAAGATATTTTTGAGACTAAGGCATATCAACTTGTATCTCTTCTATATCAAAATCAAATTTTGATATTTTCACTCTCATTCATTTACTATTTTATAGGAATCTTACATTACCAGATTTAATTATCTTCGTATTATGATTAGAGCAATAAGATATATACATCTTTAAACTTTTCTGAATAGATAATAAAATATTCATAATAGTTATTAAATCTAATTTTTTTTATATTAGTTAAAGAAAAGCCTCTTAAATCTAATAGTCGCATTTCACTAATAATAAGCCTCTTATTTGAGTAATAAAAATCTCTCGAATAATAAAGAAATATCTTGATAAATTCGATTATCTTATTTCTCAATTAATATAAAACTAAATAAATGTCTCATATTCAAAATGAATAATTCCTCACCGGTCTACACTAATAATAATCAAATATTAATTTATCAAAATTATAGGAACCATATCTCGTCCTATTATTATTGGAATTAAGTGTTACTTGTATTAATCGTACGAGCCGTCCTGATTCCCATAGGTACCATCGAGCATTTCTTTGATCGAATCTCCAAGAGTTCGACTTAGAATCTCAACAAGCTCGTGCTATCCAACCAACGGATGTCGGGTTCCGCTGTGGCGCTCGCTGCGGGAAACCGTAGGTCAACGACGAATCCTCTATCGTGACCGCCGAGGCGTCGTTCCTCTGCTCCGTGGCCCTGTTATAATCACATCTGCTGGCATGGAGAGACCCCAACAGTTGCTTTGCTCAGCGTGCTGCACTCTCGATGGCCACCAAGCGCCACCGCCGTCCCACCCACGGCGGCAGCAACGACAACCACGGACTGCACCTTAGTTTACTGCTCCTGCTGCTTATCCTCACGCCGTGGTGCGCCCACGCCCAACCCTCACCGCCCTCAGACGACATCAGCAACGACAACGACAACAATTACGGGAAGTTAAATCCGACGGTGACCGTCGTGGTCCTCGCCAGCTTCAGCACCTTCTTCTTCCTTGTCGTCTTCATCATCTACATCCGCAGGCGCACCGCCGAAGACAACTTCGTCAGGTCCTTCCACCACCGCGGCCCCGCCGCTCGGTCTCTGCGGCAGCAGCAGCGGCGGCGGCGGGTGAGCCCCCAGCTGATCGAGACATTCCCGACGCTGACGCACGCTAAAGTGAAGGGACTTGAGGTGGGCAAGGGCGCGCTGGAGTGCGCGGTGTGTCTCAGCGAGTTCGACGACGACGACGAGCTACGCCTCCTTCCTCGCTGCAGCCACTTGTTTCACACGGACTGCATCGATGTCTGGCTCGCTTCCCACGTCACCTGTCCCGTCTGCCGCGCCAACCTCGCTGAGCCAGCCACCGCCGACGGCGTTGAGCTGCCGCTTTTCGTCGCTGAGGTCGGTGACACGCAGCCCGAAACCGCCACCGCACCTGATCATGTCACGATCGTCGTGGATCGAACGGCGGCGGCTGAAGAGGAGAAGGACGAAGTGGCGCTTATCGGGAGATCGAGGCGGGAGGCCAGGCAGCAATCCGGGAGCCGGCCAGCGAAGTTCTCGAGATCGTACTCGACCGGTCACTCGGTGTTCCGGTCGCTGGAGGATGTCGACCGGTGCACCCTAAGGGTGCCGGACCAAGAACTAAATGAAATCTTCGCCGCCAGGAAACTCGACCGGTCGGCGAGCTGCGTCGCATTCCCGACCTCCGGGGAAGAGAGCTCTCGGCGTGGGCCCGGTACCCGTCGTTCTTCTTCCGGACGCTCTCGGTGAAGGTCCGGGCGTGTGCGCTAGGAGAAGAGGGGATGAAGAAAGCTCGATGAGCAAAGGGAGGAGGGCGAGGGCTCAACGAGGAAAAGGTTGTCCGGCGGCAGGCCGTGTTCCTTCACCCTCTCCATTGAGCGAGAAGTCCCTCAATTGCGATGTGGAACTTAAGTCCTTGAACAAGGGGAATTTAGATTTTTTTCACTTCCAAGTTTCAACAATCTTTTCAAAACACCCAAAATTTTTTAAAATAAATAAATAACTTAAATATAATAAAAAATAAAAATTATTTAAAAAAATAAAAAAATATTACTGATGCATGTATTATACATATAATGAGATGTATTTTCAAAAAGTTACATACATATATGAGTATCTTATTATTCATGAGAGATTTTAAGAATTGCCCAAATTCTTAGTTGATTATCGTCTAATAGTTTTTTGTTTAATATTTATATGTCCACTTATTTTAGTATTTATAATTTTTTTAACAAAATTCTATTGTAACTTTACAATCATAATGAATAGAAACAAAAAATTGCACCACTTAAGATCATATGAATAGTAGAAATTAGATTCTTAATCCATATTGTTTCAAAACAAATGGTAGCAAGTGCTATATGCTCAAATTTTATAGTTTTTGTTTTTTTGGTAATAATAGTCTACTTAGTTGATTGGTAAGATATAACATTTCCACCAAGAAAAAATATATATCCAAATATAGATTTAATATCTAAAAAATTTAAAAACTAATTGACATTACTATAACCTTCAAGGACCGAAAGATATCTTACAAAATTGAGTCTAAAATCAAAAGAACACTTGAGGTATCTAAAAATTCATTTAAGAGTATTCTAGTGGGTTATTAGTATATCTACTAAGTCTAGTTTTATTTGATAAATAGATAAGAGATTCAATAATTTGAGAGTATCTTTCTTAATTTATAAGATTATCATTATTTTTTAATAATATAAATATGGATCATAAAGAATGGGGATAGTTGAATAATTAAAATATCTATATTTTTTAGCATAATGAAATTAAGACAATGACATAAAATTATAAGATTTTTGGATTTTCATTCTTAAGATGATATCGAATAGATTCATATGAAGCCCAAGAAAATTATACTAGAGAAAGAAAATTTTACAAAATTAATGATTATGTTGGAAAAAATTGTAAAAAGCATCAGAATTATATATTTATATCAAGAATATATGATCAAGGTAACTATCCAATAACTCTATATAATGTAGTTTCGAAGGTATTAATACATGTATTTAAAATTAATAAATACACATAATTTAAAAATATTATAAGACAATTTATACATTAATAATTTGTTAAAGCAAATGATTTGAATAATTATTTATTATTTTATAAGTATTTTTAAATTATCTTATCTGAATTTATATAAAAATATCTATCCAAAAAGCTTATGGGAATTATATTATTGTAACGTCCTTTGACTTTCCTCAAGCTAGGAGGCTTACAATTACAAGCCAAAGTGTATATGTTTCTTTATGAAGCAAAAGAATATATACATACATATATATATATACATATATATATATATACATATATATATATATATATATACATATATATATATATATATATACATATATATATATACATATATATATATACATATATATATATATATATATATACATATATACATACATATATACATATATATATGCATATATATATATATATATAAATATATATATAGTGAATTTCTTATTTGAAGGTAATTTAAAGAATTTTTTAAGCTAAAATTGGTGCACTCTCAAGTTGATATACAATTCAGTGTAGCACAGTTTATCGAGAAGTTTATGCAACTCACATCATCATACAAATATGATATAAATAATAAATTTATTATTATTTTTTATTTTTAAATAATTTGAATATTTTTAAGTCAAATTACGTAGACTGACATTGTCCTATAAAGCAAATAGTAATCCTTAAATGGTAAAGATATTCTTATATTGTCCTTGGGATTCCTCACTTACATTCTGAAAAGTGGGTCACTTACGAAAAACTCATAAATTGAATTTTTTGAGAAAATATCTTAAAAATTTATATTATATATTTTTTTAAATGATGTATTTATATAATAAACTAGTAAAATTTTACCGGTAGTTGACATCTTCAAATCATATCATATTATCAAAAAATCATTATATATATTTTTTGTATTTTATGCAAAAAAGGGTCAAAACGAGGGAGAGAGAGAGAGGAGGAAGCAAGCAAATTGTTTCTGATATACCCAAATCGCAACTCATCCCCAGAAGCCAAGCTAGTATAAGAGTGTCACAGGAACTAAACAACGACGGCCATAACAAAAAGAGGGAGATATGCCGAACGCTCATCCCACTCTCCCCGTGTCTGCCGTCCCAATGGAGCCGTCGTCGCCGCTCTCCAACCCCAACCCCAACCCCTTCGCAGCCGCCGCCTCTTTTCTTCGTCACCACCTCTCCCGCCTTGGCTCCGACCTCTCCGCCGGCGTCGACCACGGTCGCCGCCTTGTCCGCGCGGTGGCCTCCCCGCCTCCCTTCGCGGCCACCTCGGTTGGGGCGTTGGCGCCCGAGCCCGCGCGCGCTGAGGGGAAGCGCGCCTTCGACCTCGCCCTCAGCCCGGAGTATGTGGCGAAAACGCTCGCCGGCACTGCGGTGTACACCGTCAGCAATTCCAACAACGAGTTCGTCCTCATTTCCGATCCTAACAACAGCCTCCGGTCGCTCGGGATCCTTTGCTTCCGGCAAGAAGACGCTCAAACCCTCCTCGCCCAGGTCCTTCCTCCTCTCTCCATTTTCCGTACCTTACCCTTTTGATTCCATTTCTTCTCTTGAGATTTTTGATCTTATGTACATCTGAAAATTCGCTTGAAATTTGTACTATATATATATTATTTCTGATTTTCCAGGTTCGGCTGCGACAGCCCATCTTGGGCAAGGGAGCAAGAGTCGTACCCATCACTCTTGATCAGGTTCTTCCATCAATTCTTGATTTAGGTTATGTTTACTGAAATAAAAATTCATGGTTATACTACATAAATTAGTTGTTCTACGTGTATTTTCAGTCTTTGCACAAGAACATCATAAAGTTATTTGATTAAATGTCACAGAGAAAACTATACTGCCTCTTTAGAAATCTAGCCTTTTGTAAAGGTGGAACCACTACATTTCCCTTCTCATATTTAACCATAGTAGCCATGAGATTCCAATATGTTCACTTGGTATTTTTTCAATTTTGTAGAATGAAGTGTAGTACTTAAATAATATATTTTTATCTTATACATACTCATTAATGGATCTTTATTTTGGATTAAAAAATTATGGATTGTTGTGAGGGTGATGAACCTAGAAACTCAAATTAGTATTAATGAATTGATAACTTGCTTTCTAGAAGTGTACTATTTTCACATTACATTGTGGAGGCTCAAGACTTAACAATGATCCATGTTGTTTGCATGTGATTGTCTAACATTTAGGAATGTCTTTATAAGTTTTACGTATCAATTCCTTTATAAATTTGTCATGAAGTAATAGCAACTTATTGACTTTTTAGACTATCAGAATAGCATTACGTTTTGTTGAAACCAATGAAGGGAACTTCCCATCAACAAATCTGGTGGATTGTTTAAAATCTTTGTGGTTGAATTGCAAATTTTTTAAGGGTTCTTACGAGTTATTATGTTAGACAAGAGCTACCATTCTGAATTTTCCGTATAACTGGACTATCCTATTTGTGCTTTTCATCCTGTTTATGCTATTAACTCGTATTTTCTTTTCTTTCTATCAAATCTGAAGTTACACTGAATCGTTTATAATTTATTATCCATGATATTGTAGGTTTATATGCTAAAGGTTGAAGGAATTGCATTTCGTTTTTTACCTGATCCTCTTCAGATAAAGAATGCTCTAGCGGTATGATTTTTTGCCTCATTTTTTGAGATAATTCTAAATTTAGCACATTATAGCATCAAAAATAAGTTGCATGAGGCTTTGTGTAAGATACACAATTTTGATACCCACGTTTTGTATCAAATGGTCTAATTTTTGTGCTTGGAAAATTATGTATTTATTTCTATTGCTCATTGTGATAGCAATTTTTGAAAATTTTCCTTTGTTAGTCTCCTCTATATTCAATGATGATATTCTAAGGCATTTATCTTATATTCAGTTTTATTAATTTTGTTGTTTACTTTCCAACCATTAGCTAGTGTGGAAGCAAGATTTGAAAGAGATTCTAGAGATGGTGAATCACCATTATAATAACTTTATGGATGTAATAATGTTTCATTTTTATTTCAGTTTTTTTATCTTTCTTGTTGGTTGTTTTGAGTATGCAGCTAGCTTTTGCTCATGTTTGATCAATCTTCTCCAAGTCCCTTGAAACTGATAAATACTATAAACAGGATGATATCGGCCAAATTTCAATGGGTATGACTTGTACACACTATAAACCAACCGGTGTTCTTAGAATGCTGCCCAATATTCTTGTACTAGGCTTGAACCAGGTGGTATGTGTAAGGTCCATGACTCAGTCGTGGTTGGACTGGTAAATACTAACCCTATTGTACTGAACCGGTCGAAATTGCAAACCTTGCTAAGAATAAACAAAGTAAAATTAATTGATTGTAAAATTTAGACTCTTTCTTTTGTTCTCTAGAAAATTTCTTTTGTAGCATAAACAGGATTCTAGTTAGTAGTATTGGATTATGTATTGACCTTGATGTGTCATTAAATGAAACTCTTTCCTTGTCTACCTGTCATGTTCTTCACTCCCTTATAAAATCTATCTAGTATAAATAGGATTCTAGTTAGGAGTATTTGACTAAGTATTGAGTTTGATGTGTTATTAATGAAACTCTTTCCTTGTCTACCTGTCATGTCCTTCACTCCCTTTATAAAACCTATCCGGTCTTGCTTGCATCATGTGGTGCAAGATCCCATGCTTGCTTCGGTATGGTTATATTTGGGAATGTTTTGGATACT